ACATCAGAGATGTACAGCATAAACTTTCACAAGCAGAGGGCTTACTTCATCAGATGCTGTGAAGGGACTGCAGGTAACAGAGCTGCTAAGCAGAAAGCAATGATTAGGACACAAAAAGTGGGTAGAGAAGGGGAAAGAAGAGGAGGGGGCACAGCTAAGAGGCAAAGTGAGTAGGAAAGAGAAAAACAATTGAGGGACATACAGCTTATAAAAACTAATTCAAGTAATGGAATAAGCCCTAGTTTTGGTTGAGACCATACTTAACACAAACTAGCAATGCTCACTCCTTTTTCCTCCCCTATTCCCTACCCTTAACACTATAATCACTGCTCCCTTTTAGCAGTTCTGCTTCCTGCAGTCCCTTCACAGCACCTCATGAAGTAAACCCTCTGCCTAGGAAGGCTTATGTAATGCATCCCTGATGTAGTCTATAAAGGTGCGAATCTACCCTGCCTTCTACCTTAGTTCAGACTAACAGAGCTAACTACCTCTCCAGCAGCATGTGGGTCTTCACTGCTGCTCATATCTGAATTTCTGATACTAAAAAATCCTGAACTTCACATGCAAATCTAATAAAAATGAAGAAAGGGAAAAGAACAAAATAATAAAAATTCATATCTACAAACGTCCACCTCTGGTGATAAATAAGAATAAACTTTTTAGACATTCTACAAATGAAAGTGATAAGTGTTATTAGGAACGTTAAGAGAGAAAAAAAGAGGTAATTAGTATTTTTAACTCTCCTGACCTCTCTCTCTCTCTCTCTTTCTCTGTTTTATTTTTGGAGGCTGCTCTAGCAAATCTTGAAAATCAGATCTAGAAATACCTTTCAATTTTCTTCAACAGCACAAGCACCTTCAACCTTTGTAGGCCCAAAGTGGAAAAAAAAGCTCCTAACTGAATATGGCTGGAATCTTAAGACTATCCAAGGTTAAGATACTGGGTAACTAACTTCTTCTATAACATCAGTTTAGTTCAGTTTCCATATTGTCAATAATTTAAAAGTTACAATCTAGAAAAATATAAAGTCAAAATGGAAAAAAGTTAGGTCTAAAATGAAGGCTGCCCTTTTAACAAGGGATTGTTGAGAAGTATGCAGCAATTGGTATGAAAAAATTAGATACTTTACATTATTTCTAGTGCCACTAACTGTCACAAAGTTTAAAAAGAGTAATCAGTTTGAGTGTGCCAAAAATTAGTATTCAATTTTTATAATGGACTTGATAGCATTTCTGAGATTCACAGTGATTTGTAATTTTCTCCACGAACAATCATACATACCATGAGTACTTCTTAGTGACCTGTGTCCTAAATCAATTTCAGTTCATACAAGAAAATGACCTCTTTATGACTTGACTCAGAGAGAAACAACATGACAACTCCCATCACTCATTCTGTTTCCAGCCACTACTAGAATTAAATTGCTCTGAAAAACCAGGGAGAGGAGGGGAAAAATAATACTTAGCATTTAACAAACATTAATTAATTCATCCTCACATCTGCCAGGTAGGTAGATAAGTGTCATTAACTTAATTTAGCAGATGGGAGACAGAAGTTAAGCAACATTTCCAAAGCCATAAAGTAAATCATTGGCAGAACTCAGGAGTTTTGGGCTCTTCTCAGTCCACGAGAATATAATACCTCCTGAACCATGCTGAATTAAGTGCATCTTCTCAAACGATCAAATTTGTTTTTCTATTTCAATTAAATCAAACCTGAAAAACAGAAGTGCACAACAATTTTTTTATTACGTTAGGAAAAAAATCTTAAATGACACCAAGAATTAGTCTTTACTCTTAAAATATTTTTCAGATGCATTTCTATTTTAGAACTCCATTTAAACTATTTAAGCAAGGTGTGATTATTTAATGTTTTGAGTTTTAGTCATTTTTAAAACGTGAAATCAATACACCAGTTGCATTTGTACACTTTCTCTCTAGCACTGTTAAACACTAGTATTGTTCATTTACTAGCTCATATAGTACTTTTAATCTTTCAAGCACTCTATAAGCATTAACTTGGTTGGTGTTTAAAGAGACTTGTAATATATACAATGCTAAAATAACAGAAAAAAGTCACAAAACAATTAAGAGTTTATTTCCTAAATGTCACGCACAATGCAGCACAAAAATTAAAAGTCACCCCTGCTACACAAAACCAAAGAAACCCACATATAAGGATTAACTTGCAAGTGTTTGAGCTCATTTTGTTAAAACCTCATGTAAATTTAATAAGAGGCCTCATCTGAAGCAACTATTTTAGATAGTATATGCTATCAAAATACATACCAGATTATGCATCACATTAAAAGCAACTAAATGATATATAGATTGAATATACAAATAGAATATTATATGTATTTTAAAAATACTTGCTTTGAAACCCTTTCCTATCCTTCAAGTATTTACTAATTTACTATTTGGGTAGTGAATTTTTTTTTTTTTCAGATGTACCACCAAAAAACAAACAAACACCCAGCAACACGGTCATTTTGCTAACAACACACTACACATTAGTTTTTTCTGTGAATTGTTTAATTCATGCAAAAATAATTGATTATAGACACCAAATATGATGCTACATTTAAAAATATCCTCTCTAAAACACTAAAATCAATATCTTGCCCATGCAGGTTTAGAGTAACATTAAAGAAAACAGTTTAATAATGAACCATACTTTCTTCATAGTAATATTACTAGCAGCAATATCTTTTCCTTGGCAACTTTAAATTACCAGGTGTAAACACATACACACACACACACAATCCAAAACTCTTAAAGTTTATTTTTCATTTCATTTTCACAAGCTAACTCCCCAGTTTCAAAAATTATTTAAGTTACCAAGGGCCTGATAAAGAGACTATTGATGTCCACGTCAGGACCCCCACAGTCATCAATGAGGTTTGGATCAGGCACTTAAAGCCAAGCAGCAAAGGAACATAATAAAAACTCCTCAAAAGGTACATTTTTAAGTTTCTTTTATTATTAAAAAGCAAAATAAAAGCCCCTAAAAACAGAAATGCTACTCAAGTGTAAAGTATTGTGGCTCTTCCTGTGGCTTTATTGCCATTCTCTTGTCTATTAAGAGATGAGACTATAAAATTTAGGGTAGGGATTTAACTTTAAAACTTTAGGAATTTAAACACATGCACGCGCACACACTTCACTAGCATTCTTTCTGGTCCAGCTACCATCATATGTCAAATCCTTTTCCTCAACAAGTACAATTACTGTCTTACAGCATGACCCAAAAGTTACCTCAGTCTTCCCCCCCCCCCACTCTGACACCCAATTTAGGCAGTTTACCAATGCCCAAAGTAATAAAGGGTTATCCCTTTTTAAAATTGGTGTTCAACCTTAAAAGGAACTGACTGTGGAGACAGTCATGAGAAGCCTGAAACAAGTTTAACTTGTGAACAGAGGAAGAGAACAAAAACACTGTATGTCATCTTTACCTTGACCTATTTGAGTTCAATACCTTGGCCATTTTAAATTCTAATATATAACAAGCAGCTTGCTATAGGTTTAGATTGTATTGATCTAGATAATAAGTGATATCCCGCTATGTGGGGTTTTTTCTGAAAGTTTTCATCTCCATCTTTTGAGTCACCCATATTCTCAAAAGTGTGTGGGGGGGGGGGTTCCCTCTTACAGGTGGGGTGTCCTAGAGAAACCTGAGCAAGTCTCTTAGCACGTCTTTTCTTCCCTTTCCTGTCCTTCCCCTCACGACCAACCCCTGCTAAGCCTCCCAGCCCACTAGTTCTCAAGCTCTTCAGAATCAAACTTTGACAACTTTCTGTCTCTGACTATTCCTGATTTTCAAGAGCAAAATTCCAGGAGAAAGCTCCCACCACAAGCTATAACTGCCCCAGGAATCGCATAGGCCTGGTGTGATTCTTTATTCATGTATTAGGCTTAACGTTTTCTGTTGCTGTTATTCAAGGTTAACTCTAGCCGGCAAGTACATTTAAAAGGCATCGGGAAGGTGGAGGAGACCCAAGAGCGGCGCCGGGAACTGCCTGTGTAGGCAAGATCAAGTACCATGTAGTAACCGGCCCTGGCCAGAGAGGGTAGATGGCGAACATCTTCCGCAGCAAAGCCCTCCGAGTGCACGTGCAGCCGGCCGGGCCAGCGCCCAGTGCTGAGCCGGGCCGGGCGCCAGATCAGCGGCGAGATCAAGATCCCACGGGTCCCCCCTCCCCTGCTGCACCTAGGGACGGGCCAGGGAGGCTGGAAAGCGGAGAGAGGTGTTTGTGTGCAAGCTTTACACACACACACCCCCCCACAAAGAAGAAGCGGGGCATGTTTCTTTACGCGTGCCTAGAATTTCCCTATAAGAAAAAAAAAAGGCAAGGCAGCGATGGGATGGGATGGGATGGGATGGGAATGAAAGCCCCCCTCCGACTGAAACAGCATCATCCAGCAGAGCGTTTCAGCGCCCCGCGGTGCCTGCATTGTGCATCTGGACTAAAAGTTGGGCTTCAAGAAGAAACTCCATTTTGCACCAAGCGCCGCTAAAAGCCTAGCTGAAGTTTGGTAGGTGGCAGCGCGGCGCACACAACAGGGGATTCAATTCACATCGCAGCCTCCTTGGGAAGACACCGTGCGCTTCTCCTTCCTCGGGGTGGGGGAGGACTAGGAAAACAAAGTCAACCCCTGGGTGCCCCGATCCCACTGCTCCCCCAGCCCGGATGCAAGACTTTTAAATCCACTTCAAAACTACAAGGCACATTAACAAACAACCCCAAGCAAGTTAGTCCCCATCTCACAACCTCCCCCCACCTCCCGTCACAACTGTGACCCGGGGGGGGCGCACAAAGTGACCCATTTGCAAGGAGGAAGCTTGACACATGTCACATTTTGCACCCACCGCGCTTAAGAGCTGCTGGAGCTGAAAACTTTCCAGCAGCAGCGAGAGGAGGGGGAGGGAGAGAGGATGAAAGTAACAAGTCAAAGCGGGGACTTGAAGGGGGAGAAAAGGGAGGGGGAGATAAAACTTACCAAGAGGAGACAGTGTGTAGAGCGTCCCGAGGAGCTGCCACCGAGAGAGGGAGAGCGCGGAGCTGCACTGGCCCCCACACAAACAAACACACATACAAAGTCTTTG